AATGGGATTGTAATCTGATGCATGACACTTTTGAATAATTATAAGTGAGAAATTCAGTATGCATAGCAGATGAATCTGCCAAAAAATGAAGGGGGGGAAAAAAAAAAGAGAGAATTTCTACAGTCAATTTTTGATACCATGGAAAAATGGGTCATGAAATGAACAACTAGAGTAAAAATATAGTTAGCCAGAAAATAGTCTCCCAAAAGCCATAAATGCATAAATCCCGTGCCAAATGGTAGAGGGAAGCAAGCTGAGCACACAAAGGTTAGAGGTAGAAAGATAAGCAACTTCTTTTCTTAACTTGTGGACAATTAATAGTGAGAATTTTACTACCAATAATAACAGTATCTATGCAGTGCAGGGGAAAGATTGGCAATGGATTAAATTATCAATGTAGATAGCAAAAGCTGAGGAAGAAAGAATCTAAAAATTATCCAGCTAACCTACCTTGAATGGAGAAGAACAACATGGAAAACGCACCAAAAATGTGCAAACATTGGCTAGAAGTTGGACCTCTAGAATTCAAAAGACAAGCAGAGAGGATAACAAATTGTCTGGACTTACAGTGGATAATAAAGACACACTTGATAACATGAGAGGGTCTTACAAAAATGGGTGGTAGAAGTGCACTTCAAAGCCATCTCAAGAGAACCAGCTGATTGTAGGCTGCTGTTTTCAGTAGGGATGAGCTGATCAGGCTGGGGAAGTTTCCCAGGAAGGCAAAGATAGGACATGATTGAAACTTATTTTAAATCCCAGAGACACCCTGCCTACTAAAACTATTGCAGCATGGCAGAAATAAAAACTGATTCCTTTCCACTCCATGAATGTTTCTGACAACCTGCTAATACCAAAAGGAAGCATGCCAGCCAAAAGTGAGCCCGTGAGCCAGGGTATATAGTAAATGCTGGCACAGAATGAGGCAACACAGGTGGGAAGGAGGAATGAAATCCCAAAACATTTCTGGGGCTTCTGGTACAGCACTGCATATTTTAATGCAGTACAGCAGAATATTTGAAGGGAATTTTTGGTTTATCTTTCAACCAGATGACTGCTGTTGTCCAACTGAAGAATGACATAGGATCATAGGAAAATTCAGGTTGGATGGGACCTCAGGAGTTCTCCAGTCCAACCTCCTGCTCCAAGTAGGGTAAGCTATGAGGTCAAGGCCAGGTTACTCAGGGATTTATCCAGTCTGGTCTTCTAATGGTGAAGCGAGAAGAGATGTTTTAGGCCACTGAGGAAATGTATCAGGAAGGCATAATACAACCTTCAACCCATTCTTTGGCTTCCTTTTCAAATCAGATTAAACACAAAAATGAGACATTAGGTTCTGTGAACTCCCCAGTTCAGACCAGTGTTTGAACTATGGTTATTACCAAGTTGGACCAACACTCAAGATCAGAGTCCCGCTGTTTCACAGTGGTCTGTGGACATTAAAAGATGCAAGTCCTGAGCAGATATATATTGGTCGTGCCATGCCGATGCAAATGCCAGCTGTTCCATTTCTCACAGACACTGAGTTAAGGTGGTTTTTTGAGTAGTGTTCCTTCCCCATTACTCCACATGGCAAATGAAAAGATTTGCAGATGATCTAAGCGAAGATTCAGGCCACCAAAGACAACTGACATTGAACCCAAAGACACAAATTAGTTCAGAAGGGGTTATTATTGTGTTCAGAGAATCAATTAATGAAATCTCTGCCCACAAAAGATAACTAGAGCTAAGCAGAGCCAGTCGTTCCCCTTTCCCCCTATATTATGCAATCTTCTACACTCATTGATCGGTACTTTGGTAGGGTTCTGATTCTTGGTCTTCCAGTACCTCTTCATAGGCTGTGGAAAAAAAAAAAAAGGAAGGAATCATTTTAGAGATCGAGAGTTTTAAGGATTGAAAAGGGCTTTCATGATTGCTCCTGCTTCAGTCTACCCACGTTTTACAGTCCCTTTCAGACAGAACCAAAATAACCTGAAAAGGTGGTCATTTATTATAATAAGGGTCTTGAGTTCTCCGGTGTGAAATTATTGTGCCACCCAAAAGGAATTCCTGGCAGTCATCAAATACAGAATATTTTCATCTGTATTTATTTGGGAGGAAATTTGTGGTCAGGACTGGCCTTCCTTCCCTATAATGGCTCTTTAAATTCAGGCATGCTGCAGGGTAGCTTGCCTAGGGTTTGGAAAAACTGGACTGCCCTGATTTTATAGTTATACATAGATCAGCACACAAGTGTAGTAAAACTGATGCCTTGTCCAGAGGACCTTGTCGGGAAATGAATTGCAAACACTACCCTATCTCAAGCAGCTTGTTCAAGGAAATTACTGCCATGCTAAAGAGATATATACTTCTGGAGTTCCACAGTTTGAAAAACACAGCTGTTTCCAAAATGCGTACTGCCATACAGGATGGAAGACAGTGGGAACGGATTGCAAAGTAAAAGAAATTGTCCCAAAGACTTAGCACTCTTCTCAATATCTGGGATATTATGAGTTAAAAACTGAGGAACTTTGAAGCCAATGCACTTCGGTGAGGTCTGAGAAATCTAATAATCCATAAAAACTATACCTTAACACAGTAGCGCAGTGCAGAAAATGAAGACTAGATACTCACCTGGCTATCCAAGGACAACAGAACCAAAAGACTGAGGAACACGTCCCAGTGTTTGTAATTCATAGTACAGCAGATGCTGGTTACATGTACGTCAAAGAGCTCTGGTCTTCACCTAGCTATGTCATAAATCTGTATGATAATTCACTCACAGGCTGCAATTAGAAGAAAACTCTGTTTCTTTACTGGAGAATCTGGAGCACTGGAAAGATATCCTGAGTTCATGGTATGCATCCTGCAAGTTGTGGGGACAAAAACTGCACCAAGTCTTGAGATCTTGGTCATCAACAATCCCCCAGAATTATGCCAGTTTGCCTTTTGCCCTTACACCAGTGTATGCAGAATGAGCCCTTGGACATGTATGATAAAGCGGTGCCTTTATTGCTTGTTTCTCTTTTGTTAGCTGACTCTTCGGAAATTTAAAACCAGGAAGAAAAGTTGTAAAGAGCAGAAGGGGCAGACCTGGTGCCCAGAGGAGCTCACAGTCCCTCTCTGGGACACAAGGAGAACAAATTATTAGCTTTGCCCAGTGTATGACTACCCATACAAAGTGCATGCGTCTGGGGAACTGTGACTGACAGTCTTTTGTGAAGGTCTGTGTTTGAAAATTTGTTCTGTATGGTGACCTCTGCATTTCTGTAGCTTCATATTTGAACAGATGTCAATTCACAGGACAGGATCAAGGTTCTTTATGTTCTTAAATGGGTATTTGTTCTTTGTTAGGCTGAAGGGCATGCCTAGTATTGTTCAGGACTTGAAAAAACACACTATCTATCTGGTCTAAAAGTATGCAACCTAAGAAACATACACAAGGCGGAAATCAGTTGAGAAACGTACAAAAAACGTTGACTTCTTTCATACAGTGGTAAGGTTAGTAATGTAGCCTGAGAGAAGCAAGACTTAATTAGTACAGGCTTCCTGAAAACAGTAGGTCTCCAAGAGGAGTGAAATAGATGAGAGAGTAGAACATTTCACACTTATTCAATGCCATTGCAAACACAGAAGGCTTGAAAATGGCAAAAAGCAGAAGAAAATTTGTGCAACCTCTTCTCTGTTGGAAAGGTGGAATCGGACTCTCTGCTCCCATGACCTGGTGCAGTGTCACAGCCGTGCAGGCTGGACTCTCCCCCACCCAAAGAGCTGACCCCCAATGAATACGTACAAGGTTCTCACTTTGCTTACATGACCACTGCTAATTTTATAACTATAAGAATCAATTTTTAGAAACGACTGACTCACTTCAGCTGACAGGTTACATATAATTAATATGCAACATAAGAAAACAATGTTCAATGGTTTAATGCCTTTAAGCACAATGCAAAATTGTTTAATGATACAAATTAAAACTGCTGTAACTATACACTTTAAAATTTAAATTATATTACTTTGATCATTTGAGGTCTAATGCTGAAAGATACTGAACACCTCTTAAAAGTTTTGTGCTTGACTTTCACTTCTAAATAATTAGTAGACTTTGAGGACAGTTTCATTTTCCACAAGCACGGAAGCAGAATTTGGCAACCAGTAATGTTAGGAAACAAACTCATTTAAAGAATAAACTCTACAGAAAAACAAAATATCAATAACAAATCCAAACATTGAAGTCGATGCCTGAGTCCTAAAAGTATAAGGCTGAATCCTAAAATTTATCTAAACAATACTTAGCAATACATCAGTACTAAAAATAATAGATTAGGCAAAACTGTAATACTTCCTCTAAAATATGCTAAGGCTACAGTGTACAAACTGAGTTTGAAATTAATTGAATTTACAACAATCTGTTTATTTTTGATGCATTTAGGCATCCAGTTTTGTTTACCTTTTTTGCTCCAAAATCCTAAATATAAATTAAGGTGGAGACTCTTCATTGCCAAAGAACTCTTTTTCTGAGTCTGTGGAACATGACATTTAATATGTGATGCAAACCAAGCAGCTACCTTCTACTCAAAAAATATAAAATAAGCTGAACACAACAGTTAAGCACTTGCTGATACAGTTCAAATAGTGCCAGATTAGAAGTATTTTTACACAAGCACATCACAAAATATTTATCATTAAAGCCTAAACTTCCGTCTAACTCAAATATATTTGTCATGTTCCCAAAGGGTTAATATTGTCTTGCTTCATTTCTTACATGTAGTAATTTTGCTCTGAACAAAAGCAGCTCCCTGCTGGTTACCTTGGCTAAAGGAAACACAATGAACTGGTAAAAACCAGTTTTATCTCACTGCTGTTGCCTAGGGCTACAGACAAAATGAAGTAAAAAAATTCACATGCAGAGTATTAGGTGCTTATGAAAGATCCAGCAGCGCTGTTGCCTAGTGATTCAGTGAGGAATCAGCATAGGCCAATGAGGTGTACGGGTACTGAATAACATCCCGATGACTGCTTTACATCTCCTGCAATTCTGTCATACACCCCCATGATTTCCCAGTGGTAAGAATCACTTTCAAGGGAACCTGTCAGAAAAAAAAAATGAAAATTTAAACAAACACACACATCACATATAGCAAGATTACTATTTTTGCTTTTCCCCTTGGATGTTGATACTGCTCTAGATTGCATACCTATCCAATGTGAAATGTTCTTCATAACTCTTAGTACTTAATTATCACGACAATTTTGATTAAAATACCTTAACAATTAAGACTACACTTCAGTTTTGAAATTGCAAATACATGCTACCGAAGTGCAAGAAATATGCTAAAACAAAATTCAAAAGAGCTACAAAATCAGAGTGTTTATAATCAGCAACTTCGTCAGTAATGTATAAAGATACTAGGTTTATTTTACCATCCACTTTTCCAGTTCTGGGATATTTTTGTTGTTGCTTTGGTTTTATTTCAGTTTGGTTTGTAGTTACTGGTGCTCTGTTACACAGTAGATTTTCTGACATGAAAGCTGCCTCATTAGCAAGGACTATATTTTGGAAAAGAAGCTACTTCAAAGATAAAGCATCCTTTTCCTCAAAGAAGAAAAAGAAACCTCTCCCCATTAAGACTATATATGTGCTCTACTTTAGTGACATTTTTCCTCCATATTAAAAAATAATATTCATATTAACAGAGCACATGATACATATTTAGTTGAAGCAAGTGTGTGAAGGAGAGCAGGAGTATTTCAGAAAAATCTTTTCATCTTCAACATCTCTAATCCTGAAAGACACATCCTTACTGTATAGAAGGGTAAACAACATGAATAAAAATACAGATCTTTTTTTAAAAGATCACTCTCAATTCCTTCTCAAGCTGTTGGTACTTTATGTTTTTTATCTGGCCTCTGCCACCAATCCATTCATGATGCTTCAGAGGAATATAAAGTATCTTCATGATGCACGTAGTCTAATGTGCAATAGGAGTAAAAGTATCTCATGACTCCTACAGTAACTTGCTCAGGAAAAGGAGACCAAAACAAGGGTAATAAAACATGTATCTTCAAATACTTCTACTGCCTATTAAAAAGTCCTAATCTTTGAAAACCCCAGAAAACTACCTATTGTCCAAGAATGTGTTTCCTTTCACCTATGAAAATGTAGCTGTCATTTAACAGAGAATTACTATTCTCAGAGGAACAACATATTGAATCCTTTTGTTAATGCATCGAGGTGAATTTGTCGGTGTATGATAGTAGACACCCTAGACAGAGGTGAAAGAAACTGTGCTCTAAATGGTGTGTCCCATTTTGTCCATAGGACATTAAAACCTTCTGCCAGTTAGTGGTTAGTCTGAAATATGTAACACTAAAATGATATTCTGCCCATGTAACTGTGAACACTCTTTAACCATGTAAAGATTTGTCTCTCTTAGAAACCTGTTAAATTGTTCATATTTTATTTCATGGCAATGACTTCCTCAGGCAAAGTATGAACGATGTTATCTGTGACAAAGTCGCAAAAAAGAGTCTCCTAAAACTATCATGGAAGGACTACAGTGTTGCTATTCACTTTATGTAATGTCAATAATAACATATTTGATTATTTAAATGAACCTTACAGGAGCATGAGTGCCAGGTGTCTAATACTATCATTAAAAATATCTAGATGTAGTATACCTTGAAAAACAGCCTTGCTTCTCTTTTCAAGGAATTTGTGACAAAAGAAGCAAGGCTAGCACAGGTGTGCAATGTAAGCAGCCTACAGAAATGCAGTTTACAAAGCTTGGGAGAGTCAGTGCAAGAACTGCATAATCCCAGTACGGCCAAAAGGTCTCACTTGACCAAATCTGGTAAATAGGAGTACAAGTTCTTACAAGGGTTAAGTGAACAGAGAGGGGGAGGGGTCCAGCATGGGAAGGAGAAAGAATAATTTAGATCTCAGATGCTCCTTATTCTCTCTTCTCAGCTTTTGTGGGAAAGATGGGCTCCATAAGGACCCATAAATATGTAACTGCAAGACCTCCAGAGAATGCCTCACAAAGTATCTGAGATGCTGAAATAGATATAGATCTGGAGGAAGAAATACAAGCTAAAAGTGATCTTGTAGTTTTCTTTTTCTACTATTTCCATTAGTGCAAGTTTGTATGTTGTAACCACTTTTTAAACAAAAAAAACTTTTTTCTGCCCCGAAATCTTACTCAGTAATACTGCCAAATGAGTAATCTGGTAACACCAAATATTCTGTTTCTCAGGAAACTGGAAACCCTTGGACTGTTCCTCACAATCAGTTTAGGGCTTCCCAGGAACTGTAGTCAGTTATTAAACAACAACAGCTGAGCAGTAGGCTAGGGTGAAGGGTACCAGTCTTTCAGAGAGAAAAATATAATAATTTTATAAAATAATTACAATTTGGTCCAATACATAGATAGATACAATAGCTGTGTGGCTAGCGACTAGTTTTTACAGATGTTGTTCTGGTAGATGATGTCCTATACTTTCAACAATGACCAATGATTTTGTCTGCCTTATATGTTAGGCATCCACATGGAAATGTTAAAAAGACCAGCTTTCTAAGTGAAAATTACTGAAGAAAGATCTTTTGCAATAATTTTTCAGCAGTAATGAATGCTTGGCAGATTTAGAAAGCCTATTAAAGGCACATAGTTCTCACTCTACCACACCCAACAGAAATTTCATCGCTATGAACAAAATGGATTTTGAAATTACCATACTGCATTGCTAAGACAAAGAGTAGATGACAGTCACACTTTCCAAAATGGAAGTTGAGTTTCTTTCAGTTATTTTCCTTTAGCATTTTTATAGTAATTTAAAAAAGCAATATGAAAAATGAAACTATTGAAGTGAAAGGCAAAATACTTGTCTCTAGATTCTTAATATGATGACAATAACATACAAAGCTAAGTATGCCTGAGACAGTAATGGAAATTCAGAATTGTTCCTACCTTTAGTGGCACTTCCAAGGCTGTGGTTTGCTGCAGGGACTCCATTGTTCTTTTTACCAATACTGTAAGGTAAATTTGAAAACCCACAGCTTTATTTTCCATGTTAGAATTGTTATACAGAAAAAAAGAATTCACATGCTTTATATTCTGCTACATAATACCTGCATTTCCACATAAAAAAAAAAAATTAACCATTTACAATTTTCGCAGATTTTTTTTTAAATTAAATTTTATCTCTTGTGGAAGGTTCAATTCCTTATTTTAAATTTAATTTTATGTGAAATTTGGATAATTATTTAACTTACATATCCCATAAATACAGAAGTACAGCACTAGTATATTTTATATAGAGGTACAGCATGTCTGAGTGCTATATTTCTCAGCTTTCAAGTTCAGTACTCTTAACTATATGTTTGGTGACATTTTATATATTTTAATTTTCTCGTGCAGCCATAAAACTCAATCTAAGAGAAAAGCTAGGAAAAAAAATACTAGAATTCTGAACTGTCTAAAATATCTTATTATTCAAAGTAAAAAGATCAGGGCCAAAATGAAAAAAAAATAATCTTCCCCGTGGGATAGTGGACCTATCAAGAATCTAAACAATTAAACTTCAGTATGACTTATGCAACTTAACAACTCATCATGTCATAACACTGTGCTCACTATTACTGTGAAAATGCATCTATAATTATTCCAAATCAATCATTTGGGACCAGATTTGTCATTCTTGGTCATGCCAATTAGTGTTTTGCTTGACAAAGATTGCTGCTGCAACACAATATGGTTCTAATAAAAATCAAAGAGAGATTCAGTGGATGAATTTTGGCTAGTGAAAGTGAAATAGGAATACCAGGCAGCTCCAGAACAAAAGTTATTGAGCAACCTCCATTGCTCTGACAGGACGGCTGACTAAATAATGTATGTCGTCATGTGCCTTACTTAATCGAGAAATATCAGGGTATGCAATATATGGTGATAACTGCTAGACCGAAACCCACATGATTACTTAGAAGCTTTCTTTGAAGTTATCCCTTGATGCCCATCACAGTTCTTTTGTAGCTTAGGTTAGACACAAAGGAATGACAAGAACTTTAAGAAGCTGAGTACGGCTGTTGCTCCAGCTGCTACTGAAACCTTTTCTAATGATGCCAGCAATCAAGAGTAGTATGTACTGTTTTGTGTCACATCTGTGAGACTGAGGCCGGCTAGATAATAATGATGAGGATAACTAGCTTCTGCCTGAACAGAAGTGGAATGCTCAGACTGTGCTGGCTCACTCAGACTTGCGTGCTAATGAGCCGTCAAAAGATTTTCCATGAAGTCCAAATTATGCAGTAACTCAGTGGCTGAAGTGCCAAGGCTGAAGAAACTGAGACATTTGTTGACACATCTATGTAGAGCTACACCTATATATTTGCTTCATGTTACCTCATTTGAGGTAGTTTATGGTCCAGTGTAGGACATAGCATTGTTTTTAGAGAGTAGAAACCAACATTGCAACCACAGATTGTGAAAGGGGAAGTGCTGGCCTAAATAATTATCCATTTAAAATCCAATCCAAGTCAACATGGCTATTAATAGAGGAGTGTTGGACTGTCTCCTTCTTGAGAAGCCCACTCTGAATTTAAACAAGCTGCCAGCTCCAGGAGGTCAGCAATACAGCAGACGTCAGGGCACTCCAACCAGGTGGCACGCCTTCAGAAGGCTAAGTGGATTGCCAGTCAGTCCCCGGGTAAACATTTTTTCCATCGGTTAGCTCCCTACCAGGCTATGACTGCACAAAGCTTTTGTGAAAGCATAACAACTGGATTCTGTGCTTCTTACGCAGAATCACTCAGCTCTGTATGTTCCACCAAAGCACTTATGAAGGGCACACTCAACTCTGTGCAGTTCACATTCTTGGAGCTGTTAGACAAATAAACAGCAATAGAGCATCAGGGCAATGGGAGAAATAGGTCTTTTGGACAAAAAGAGCTCCAACGGACAACAAAAGATGGAGCACGAGTCAGCAGCACTGATTCCCTGGTTGAAAGACGCAAAGGGTATGATAAAGGGCGCTGTCTGCATATGCACGGAGTTGGACAAGTTTTCCCCTAGTTCTCTGAATTTGTCTAGTTCTCTCCCATATATCTGGTATCCCCAAAAGGGGATTCATGATGGCAGCAATGGTTGCAATACCTTTCTCTGTTGGTTCACACAGTTTTCGCTTTAAGGCATCTGGTATGATCAAAATTCTGCTGCATTCTTAACTGCTCTTAATTTTAAAAAGCACAGATTAAAGTGGCCACATCAGTGAACAAACCTAATGGTTCCTCATTCACTTTAACAAGCCATTAAAAACCTCTCCATGGTTTGCTCCATTTTCTTCATTGTTTTTTTCTGTGTCAGTTCAGCTCCCTGTTCTCTTTCTCATGTCACACTGACTTCTCCATCTTTTCCCAGAGTTTAGTGGGTGGCATAGTAAAACCATTCATTTCAAGCAATCTGAAGTTGTTTTGCCTGCATTTCAGCCTTTTGAAATCATGATTTTGCAAGTATCCAAAAGATTTGCCTACATCTACTTTTACAACAGATTTTGAATGAAATAATAAATATATAATGATAACAGAAATATCAAGAAAAAGCAGCTGGATTACCATTCCTGTTCAGTAGTCTGCTAAGACAGTAAACAGTAAAGAAGGAAGCATTTAAATGAAATTACAGTCTTTGCACAAAAATAAATAGGTAAACTGGCTGAATACATTTAGGCTAGAAATTTAAAGTTCTAGATTTTGGAGAGATGAAATTCTGGAACAGTCTCCCAGTGGGAGTAATTTTTCATATGGAGATGATAATTTATAAAAGAGACCATATGGCACAGTGGTATGTAATCGCAGGAGAGGTCTTCTTTAGTTCTATGTATATAATATCTGATTCTCCCGCTACTCTCGCAAATCTCCTTGAAAACTCTCTTCTTTCTCAAGGCTCAAAATAAACAATTCAGACATACACAACTGTATCTTCTTTATCTCATATATGTTACAGAGTGTGGTTACTAACAAAAGTGACCACAATGTTTAAATAGATCTGTGTCTACCACTCTTAATTTTTTGTTTCTTTTCTAAGATTTACATTGGAGGCTTTTGGGATAATGATTATTTCTGTTCAGTCAAGAATCTAGTGTATCTAGGGCACATAAATTATTAATTTTAAAATGTTCCTTTGCAGCCAGCTATATAGTGCAATGGCATCTGTAAAATGCTGTTCTCCCAACCTTTACAACTTCTCTCTCAAAACCCACAGACAGCAATTATGAGATTTGTTGATTATACTCATCCTGGAATGCTTTGTAAGTGCTAAATATGTCATGTTAAAGTAGTATGTATAAAAAAATATTGGTGACCGCAAAGTGAAGAGATCATAGAGGAACTGAAATTTTAACATATATTAGATTTTCTTGATACAGACCAGAATAAATAGGCTTATTTAAAGTGTTGTGAATAGGAGCAAAGAAAAGACACGCATGCCTGCTGTGGAACAAAAGCTTATTTGTCCCTATTGAACTGAAGACATTTTTCAAGCTCATTCACCTATGAAATTATGACTCCAGAAACATGTCAAAGCTGGCCAGGCATATGATCTATGGAATAGGGATTTTTGCAAACTGAAAGCTATCTGGAGGCATCTTTAGCTTATGCACCAGTGTTTTTCAAGTTAGAAAAAGGCAGCTCAGAGGACAGAAAATGTCACTAACTTGTGATGAGCAGTTCATTCTTTTGTTCTTCTGTTACTTGAGTCCCCTTTTGAACATGTGCATGTTTTTATACAGCTGCTTCAGTACCCATTAGGTAGGAAACTGTAGCAGAATAAAATGAAATTTCATGGAATTTGTACACGAGCCAAAAAATTGTATTGGTAGATTTTAAAAAAAATCTGAGATACTGTTCTTTAGGTAGCAATAATCTTAATTGATCTTAATAACAAAATACATAGGCTTAGTTTATTCTGATTTTTTCCTTAGACTGGTCCTTTTGGGGTTCTTATATTTAAAGTATTTCAGCTGAAATATTTTATACCTGGTAAAAAATCAGAAAAATTGCTTAAAACTGTATGTTTTACATGTACAAAATATAAGAACGGATGCAGAAATTAACTTTTTTAATTCTATCAATAATGTATGACTATAAATGAGTTCTAAAAAAAACACCTTTAAAAATGGCACTAATGCACTGTGATACTGAACACAAAGTAATGGAATACACATATTTCTACAAAAATATGTTATTTCAAGTACCAAGCATCTTTCATTTAATTATGCTTCTCGCTAATCGATGCAATTAAGCAAGAAGAGTGACAAGGAACAATCCACAGTAATCACCACTGGCAAAGTTCACCTTTCAAATCCACCAGGTACATATGGAATACACATCAGAACTCAGATCTTACAGTTGTCACTACAGGTATCCCTGTACTGTAAAAAAACCCAAAAAATATTCTGCATTTCTTCACCCCCTTTTAACAGTAACGTACTCAGAATAATCCAAGGGCAAAGAGGCATTTCAAACAGAACATGGACAGGTAGTCTCAGAAATATTCTCCACAAAATGAAAAATCGTGTTCTGCAATTCCTGAATACGCTTCCAGAGTCCCTAGACAGGCTCACAGTCTTATTTGGGGAGTCCGTGTACCTGATTAGACAGACTTCGGAACTCAGAGATGCTTAGCTCTGTCAGATCCAAGAGCCCAGTTTTTGGCATTCCCAAAATATCATCTGCCTTTCTGCTTCCTGGACTGCTGGAGAGCTCAGGATATGAGGAAGCCAGACAGGCACGCTGGCTAGAAACCAGGCAGATTATTGATGGTAGAGCTGACAGTCTCCTGCCAAAACCAAACCAATTCCTGCCAAATGTTTTGATTTGATCTTTCCAGGCATCCTCTAATAGAAAATGAGGAGTTTTAAAAAGCTCTTTTGCTGTCTTGTTCTTGCCCTAAACAGAGAATTGAAGCAAATTATATGCCATACCTCTGTTGAAAATTACACAATTCAAAGTAGTATGCACTTTATTTTATCTCAAAGTATGTCAACACTGGGACACTCCAAACAAATGATGTTTTTCGCCTTGTCCATTCAGAGTGAACCATATGCATACTGTATGCACTACATGCGGGTGATAGATTCTGTTTGAAGAAGGTATTATGCCGAAATACAGACAACATCTAACTTAAGTTACATGAAGTGTTTTGTGCAAAAGTAGACATTATAAAAAAGAGCACCTTATTGCTTGCCCCTTGATTATCAAATTCAAAAGATTCAAAATCATCCGTTGGGCATAGATTATGAGGTGCACTATAAATTGGATTTCTGTATACAGAAAAGAACTCAGAACTCTTATTGTGGCCTAAGAAGCCCTAAGCAGGAATAGAGAAAGCACCAGCATGATTGCCTTGTGGAAATTCTCAGCCTCCACTCAGGAGAGTCTTAGAAGCAAATAGACATTTTAATGTTGTAAAACAATACAAAAGAGACACTTCCATAAGGGAAATGCTGCTGAGAAGGCTTCCGTTCTGCACTACAATCTAATTGAAATAATACTATTTATCTTTATGTTCTTCATTTATAAATCTTAAATGCATTTTAAGATTTCACATCCATTCTGCAAATAAGAGAACTGAGACACATATATTTGTTGTTGCTTTTCTGAAAAAGTAGATCAGAAGCATGACTGGAATCAAAATGCAAACATGCTGAATAGCAGGTCAGTGCTTCTTGGATCACACTAAATGCAGGAGACTAACACAACACTGAACTGTAGTCCATTAAAGACATCAAACACTACTCTTTAGCTTTAAGTCCACGTCTTTCCCTTTACCGAGCTTTGTGACTGTACAACTGAGATTTCTCTCTGGATCATTAAGCTGCGGGCTGGAAACTGCAAATCAGCAGAATCTGTAATTTAAAGTTTCTGAATGGACAAAAGCTCATTAGATGTGTAAAGACAAAGCTGACAGCTAAAGAATATCAGCAAATAAAACTAAGAAGAGTAAGGAGTTAAAAAAAAAAAGGAGAAAGAACTTTGGGTAAAGGAATAAAAACCATATTTGGACTTTCAAAGCACTAAAGTGAATTAGGAGCACACATCCTACTGACACTCCTTTGGTTTAAAACTCACATACCTAATTTGCTACCTCAGTTAGCAGCTCCTGAAATAATTGGAAAAGATTAGGAGAAAATAGTCATCCTATTTAGTTTCATCTGAAAGGAATCTAGGTCAACCGCTCTCAGACTGCTCTGTGATGTGAACCAAAACTGTTCACACCATGGACTGGGGACAATAGGGAGATCTGCTTCATCATACTTCTAACTGGAAGTTATGTCCTCGTGCAGATGCACCCTTTCTCTCCCTATTCAGATCAAGCAAAATCCCCATTAATGACACTGAAGGAAGAGCCAGCTTCAGTTGTTTTTAAGACAACTTGGATTTGTTCTTTTACCAGCAGCAGAACTATTTGCAAAACACAGAATCACAGAATGGCTGAGGTTGGAAGGGACCTCTGGAGGTCATCTGGTCCAAACCCCCTGCTCAACAGGGCCATCTAGAAGCTGTTGTACAGGACCATGTCCTGACGACTTTTGAATATCTCCAAGGATGGAGACTCCACGACCTTTCTGGGGAACCTGTGCCAGTGCTTGATCACACTCTCAGTAAAAAAGTGTTTCCTGATGTTCAGAGAGAACCTCCCATGTTTCAGTTTGTGCCCATTGCCTCTGGTCCTGTCACTGGGCACCACTGGAAAGATCCTGACTCCTCTGTCCTCTATGCACCCTCCCTTCAGGTAAGTATATACATTAACAAGATTCCCCTGAGCCTTCTCTTCTCCAGGCTGAACAGTCCCAGCTCTCTCAGACTTTCTTCATAGGAGAGATGCTCCAGTCCCTTCATCATTTTTGTGGCTGTTCGTTGGACTTTCTCCAGTTTGTCCATGTCTCTTTTATACTGGGGAGCCCAGAACTGGATGCAATACTCCAGGTGTGGCCTCACCAGTGATGAATAAAGGGGAAGGAAATGAATGACTGAACAAAAGGAGGAGGAAATTAATGCCTTAGGTTGATCTTTAGTGTAAAGGAAAAGACATTTTATCACTCTTCTGTTCTGAGGTGAGTATATCTGGAAGTTACTGTAATGCAGAATTTTCTTTTTTTCTTTGCCTCTTAGGGTGAAGTAGATACAAACCTAAAAATCAGTCTTCAACCAGCAGAATGAAACAAACTTAGATCTTGGACACTCAAGCTTGGCAGCCTATGTTGAGTGCAATGATTATTTCCAAGGTATCTCAGACCTCTAGACTGCCCAGGTCCATTTCCTAAAGGTCATCTTAGCAACTTCAACTACATGGTGATAGCTCTGAAGCAAAACAAGGACTTCACAGGTATGTTTGTTCTGCACACGGCAGCTAGATGTGGAGATATGCAAACTAGTTACACTGTGGTGTGTAGAGCAAAGATGAGTTCGCATCTTGAGTATTTGAACTGATCTCTTTTTGTGTTTTCAGAAAAAAGCCTCTAGTCATCATGTTTCTATAGCAGGATAATTTATTACTATTATTTGTACAATGGCTAGAGGTTTTTTCTATTATACTGGAAAAATATTGCTTTTGCTGAATTTACTAGAAATTCATACTAGTAAAAGAGATCAGAATTTGATGCGATGAGGGCAGAATCTGTGATTTTCTATATGTATAAGCAACCATGAATAATTTTTATCTTTTGGGTATAATATTAGGTCTATACTTAATGCAAATATACATAAAATAAGATAATAAAAATCATTCTATGCTGTCTTACAGATGTCATTCAATATACTATACTTTCTAACTCTGGAACTATGGCACTTTTAGACATTGGCCTTTTCTGAGTAGATACTGCAATGTCTGATAAATTTTACGGTGTTTTTTTAATTTAAACCAGATTTGAACTCTTGTACTTAGAGGTCAAATGTTAATATATCAACCTAATTCATTACAATGCCCCTAATATATTGAACTTAAATATTTCCCAGGTTCTTTGTTTTGATTAGATGTAGGCTTAATGTTCTCACTATGAACTAATAATCACAAGAGGGATCAGTGATGAAATGAGACCAATACGGCAAATTGTACTCTTTAAATGAACGCAACACAGGAAGGTGAGATTAATTTTTTCTTAGATGCTTAGGTTATAACAGAAGATATTTCTTGTATTGCTTCATTTAAAATATTTGTCACATTATGCTAATTGTTTTAGCCAAAGTTATTGTTGAGCTTCAAACTAGACCAAAATTTGTGAATAACCATTTGATGCCTACAGGAATAAATACACTACTTACTGGAGAAGAGACTCAACAGTCTCCTATGTGCCTTCATTTGCTAGCTAAATTTGTACCAGATGCTGAGACAAACTCTGGCTTAGGAAATAATGCCTGGAAGTAAGCCAGATGACAGGATAAAAATGTAGGCAGGAACTTTTACTAACCCTTTACCTCGAAAGTTCCATTATAAAGTTCTCTTAATACAAAAAAAAGCAGTAAACTAACTTAGAAATTACAGTATATTATATTCCTACATTAAGAATTAAGAATGTCTTTATTTAACAGGTCCCAGTCATAAGTATTTAGGAAGTTACTTTCCAATCCATTCTTTATAAGCTGGTTTATTTCTTTCTGAAACCCTTTGAAACCTTGGAGAAAGTATTATTATTTAGCTTTACAGGATTCACACACTGGATGAGGTAATCTTGATAAGAAAACCAAATGCAAATAAGCATGTTGATGAACTCCAGATGAAGAGCATATCACATTTTATCTACGTAAGAGCCAGTGGTGGAAAAGATTCAGAAAAATCTGCTTAGTATGCATTTTCTTAATCATGAGAATCAATGTGCTGCTTCTTGTTACATTAATTCTTTATCCTCTGAGAAATCATGCGTTATAAGGAGAAAAAAGGGCATGGGGGAGAAAGAGCAAGGGAGATTGTATTTACCTGAAAATTCCTGGATTTGAGAATCTTCTACTTCAAACAACAACTCGTCATGAATCTGGGCAATTAACCTGAAAAATTTCAGAGACGTTAGATAACATATGCAAGAAATTTCTAACAGTGCTTTCCCTTCTTATCATCAACTAATTGTCAATGCACAATGAATATGTTAAAGTGAAAATAAACATCCTAAGAACACAAAAAAATCATTAATGGAGTTAAAAGGACTGGCACTCCACATATTCTGAAAACATAAAGGCCATGGTCATAAATCCAAACTATGCTTACTAGCTTATAAATGTCATTCAGGGATTTGACGATGTGACAAGGTATTACTTAAAACCAATGTAATTTGCAGAAAATTGCAAGAAATTATAGAGACAGGCTATGTTTTGTTAATATTTTGAGTGGGAATAAACATGGTTGCAAATGGGTGGTTTTACTAATGCAAATTAGGTCAATAGTAAGAGTATTTGGCTCAGTGGTATACCAATATTAAGTCCTAGTTGGCCAGTGACTCGAGTCCTTTCCATGATATAATCTTTTCACTTAAGTGTAAAGTAGGTGTCCTCGTGCGAACAAACAAGTGGGTTGAGGAAGGAAAACGTAGACATAAATACACAACCTGATCTGTTGCCTCTGCTATCAGGACAGTTGCCTTCATAAGGACAGAGTGTATAGCTGAAAGCATTAACATCTTGCAAGCCATGCAACTACACGTACCTGAGCTCTTCAGTTAGAGCTGTTTCGTAATGTACTGCTGCTTTGTTTTTCTCTTTGTCTGTACTAGTTCTATATTGATAGGTCTCTTACAAACAGACTGTGACTTAATATAGAAATAGCACCCTAAATTGTCGGTTTGGGTGCAAAAGTACTTTCACAACAGAAATAATAAATGTATTTGATTGAATCAAGTCCACAGCAGAATAGATATAATCTAGCACATATAATCCTTGAGTCTAGTTCTCACTGAAGAAGGAAAGATACTAAACATCTGATTACACTCTATTCCTACTAGGTTTATTTTATTACTTCTTTAATTATTGTAGCTGGGAGTCTAAGCAATGAAGCTGTATTTCCAAATCGATTTGCAATTTGTATATAACATTTAAATTAAATGCCCATTGTACACTTTTCTTAACACATAGCATTTATTCAAGTAAATAATTCTTTACAAATGGCTGAAACATCAATATGGTTACTACTTATAACTTTTTACAGCTTTCAGGAAAATATCTGAAGATAGTTTCACACTGCCTTAAATTACAATGTGACATTGACTAACAGCGTGGTGAGCTCTAATAATAGATCTTAAATTATTAGTCACTTACAACACAGTCAGAAACAGAGCTTTCTAATAAGAAATTGGGACACAGGATACAAAAAGGAATAGGTGAAAAGACCAGGATCATCTGTAGCAAGAGAATACAGCTACATGAAAAGTTATAATTTCCGATGCAAGTAAATTAATTAGAGCAAGAGATTCCTCATAATCATTGAAATGACATGTATAAAGATATAAACCAGAAAGAACTGTGAATGTTAAACATGAATATACTGTGAATCAGTGCAATAAGTGAAAATAATTGCATTGATTAAACGAGTGCAATACAAATGTGATAGACTGGTTATTATTTGTACCAGAGTAGTGTCTCATGCCTTCAGTCAGGATTACAGCACCATATATTACGAATATTTGGCAAGAAAAAATCCTTTCTTAGAAAACCTTACAATATACAGTAAAAATTTTATCATAAATTTATCAGGATTTAGGAATGGAGGAAAAATAATTGGATTTTCAAAAACACTCAGCATTAGATCAACCGATAACCTCATCACCACACTAAAAGTAAAACCGAGTTCAGGAGGAGCAGGGTTGGACCAGGGATCAGTGCTACCTTATGTGAGCCAGAAAACCTGTGGAAGCAATATGAACTGAACTCAAACTTTCTGTCTGGACATCACAATAGCCTTGACACAACACTATGTGCTCCAGTTCATCAACCGACATCAGCACAGCTATTTTAGCTTTGTTGTCCACCTGGACTAAAGGACCCTGTTTCTCAGTGCTTATCATCCTGAACAGCACAGCCTATCAGCTCAGTTATATTTCCAGTTAACTGAGGAACTGCACAGTTGCAGAATTACATCTACCCCATCTTAAACATCTAGTGATTAATTTGAAGTTCAGGACAATATTCTGTTTGCTAAAATGCAGAACTAGAAGTTAGCATTGCTGGTTCTCTGTCTAGCTCTGCTAGTCTCCTGCTAAGCAATGCACATTCAACTAGAAAATGGGGATAACATTTATCTCAGACATGCGATATGTAAGAAATACATTTCTATTTTTGAATGAAAGATGAGTTTTAATTAACACTAAACATGACTTCCTAGCTTGATGCTGAGAAGTGGAGCAGTATACACTAGTTCCTCCTTAATGTTCATCAAACAAGTTAAGGTTTTTTTACGATCTCTTATCTCTTTTTCTTATCCATCTCACATCAACTTAATGGGTTCTACTCTTTCAGGTTTACAGTACAAGGCTACCTGCATTTCTTCAGGTTGTTAAACTAATAATACTTGCATGCAATATGCTCTTCCACAGAAGGAAGCATTCAATTTGACATCAATATAGATGAAAGAAAAAATCAAAGCAATTTATACATTCAAAATTCATAGCTTTCACCATTCCAGTGCATGCATGCACGCACCCACCCACCCATTGCACACCTTGAGTGAAAGAAGTTTGGAAAAAAAACCCCACACCCTATACTTTCGCTTAATAGCTTAATTGAATCATCTTCACTTTGAAGGAATATTGAAACAGCAAGCTCCTCTCATTATCTCTTGCTAAAAGGTATGGTAAACTAGATTAGAAACTGCAAACCAGGCAGAGACTAGTATTTTTGTTGTTCTACAGATGATAAGAATGCCTTTGATTTACAAGCTAATATTTTATTAACTATTTTTTTGATTGCCTGCAGATTAGGCATCATTTTTTATGAGTACACACATGATTTCTTCTACTAAGAAACGTGACCTGCATCCGAGTATGACTGTGGTGTGGAATGGAGATACTGCTACAACCTGCACCTTCAAATGCAGCAGTATTTCTGTGATTGCCAGTCTGAAAATGGCTTTTGACATCAGTTCAGTGTGCTCAGCACACAATATCCTTCTTAAACTATTATGCTGCACTATAGAATTTTAAAAAGAAAATATTTTTTATTCTCTTCAACATGACAGTCATCATTCTTCCAGTTCCTATGAAAGAATACAGAGACTAAACTTCTCATGGCTTCAGTGGATCCACCTAGTAATCATTACTATATCATAATCACATTATTGACTTATATGTACCAAAACAAATTAAACTATTCTTTCATAATATTCTATTTATGAGAGCATATTGCTGGCTTATAGCACATTTTTTCCTATTAACGGGTCAGTTTGCCTAATACAAGAGAAAATGAGGATTTTGTTTGTTACTGTGAAGCAATATATTCCAGACCTGGACCTCTCTGTTCTAAAGTATAGAACTGCAAGTTTTTCCACGGCTACTTCAAATGCATTGCCTAGAAATAAGTATACTATTGAACTGACTTAAACAAAACAGCTATTACCTTACTGGTGAGCAACTGTATTTCTTAACCATTACAGGAAAAAACATTTTGTCTAAACTGCAAATGACAGTGCTGTGGCATGACATGCTGCATGCTCTATTGTAGGAGTATCCCATAGAAGAGGCCAGTGTAGGATAGGGAAAAAAAAAACAACAAAAAGATAAGATCATCATAAGTTTTCTTGGAAGCTGTTTTTTTAACAGCCATGTGCAGTGTTTCAGGCCATTACAACGTGCCAAGAGATGCTCAAACTAATTAAATTCTTGCTCCTTCTATAGTCAAAGAGCTAAGGTAGGCTCCGACTTAGATGTTCTGAATTGGCATCTGGAAATCCTAAACTCTATGCATTAACATTGTGGGGGTACCACCTCCTAAAACAGCTACTTACATTGGATACCCAAAGTTAGACATAGAATAGGCCTCTGCAAATTTTTGTGATACATTTTTGTATCACCAGGGAAGTTTTTACTGCTGCTAACAACATATCCAAAACTTAACATTGACTAGTTTTCCAGACTGGTCTGCATGAAGATAATACAAAATATAAACAATCAATGAATTCCTACAGACTAACTGTTGGTTAATTTACCCCATCGTTTGGTAGCAGGCAGTCTGGAACCACCATATGCCCATTCCAGACCCCTCAAAACTCACCTTAATCTCAATTACTTTCTCTATTCAATTCCCTCACTACAGCCCCTGACACTCCCATGGGAGGTCTAACTAAGCACAGGCAGCATGAAGGAAGGGAATGAGACAGGCTAAGCCATACTTATAAAGTGCTAAATATATTGCTCAAAGAATATCTGAGAGGAGCTTACATATTACATCAGGCTGGCTTGTTTAGGAGTTTGAACAGAAAATAAATTAAAATAAGGTTTAAAATTGGGTAACTGGGAAGCTTTAAATAAGAGGGTTGGATTGCTATGCATAATACAGCTGGACTCAATGATCTTACGGGTCTTTTCCAACCTAATTGATTCTGTGACTCTATAAGAAATTAAGGGCACCTTATTCTGACTAAGAACCAGGATGAGAGCCCAGACTAAAATAGTTTAAGATGCTTCCTGTTGGTTAGCTCTACAACTTCAGAAAAAAAACAATGGTGTGGCACCATCAGGTTACCTGATTCTGAGCTAGAGTACTCAAGTGTAAAATTTCCATGAAAAATTACACATTTTATTTCTAATTTGAAGACATGCTGAGAATTAAATCATAACTGAACAAGAGATTTTCTAAGCCTAAGGATTCTCTTCGGAGAAGGAGAAAAAAAAAAAAAAAAAAGAGTTATTTGAAACTCACCATAGCTTATTTGAGTAAAAATTCTAGTTAAACTTAAAAAAAAATAATCCTATAATGCATTACTTAGGAATGTAAGAAAATGTTAAGAGTTAAGTTTTTATATAGGTACAATAAAAATGCATAAACGTAATAAAAAATTACTAAAA